ATATTTTTAAGTACTAAAATAATGGTAAGAGACTAATAAAATATCTGTATTTTGTATGTAAAAATACTACCACGTAGACAACACTGAAAAGTGACATGGCCCTGCGTAGGACAGGGCTCAGGAGCAGAGCAGAGCTGACATGTGGGGTAAGTACCCTCCCCAGACAGCCGGCTCTAAGTCGAATAAGAATGAGTTCTCTCAGGTAAGGTCTGTGCAGAAACAGGAGGCAAGGCCTGGGGGTATGAGCAGAGGATGCTCCGATTTATAGAGGACATAATAACATCAAAAAGAGATGCAGCAGGCACAGCCCAAGAGGGAGGAGGAGAGGCAATTTCAGGAAGGGGAATGACTCCAGGAGGGTCCAAGGGAGAAAAGCAAAGAACAAGGGGCACTGGGTTTGGCATTCAAAGGGAAGTGATTTGGCATTTAGTCACTGCCTCTCTGATCACCATTACAAACTGGACACCGTGGGGGGTCCTTTGCCTATATTAGCTCATTTACTCATTGCAACCAGTATTATTGTGCCTGCTTTAAAGACGAGGAAACTGGGCAGCAGAGAAACTAAATGTTTGGGAGCTCATCTGTGGCCTGCAGAAAGCAGTCTCAGGCAGTTGACATCTTCTGTAAGAGAAAGACTAAAAGGAGCAGGAAGCCTCCCATATCCACCCCAGGAACCCATGACTCCAGAAAAAGATGCTGCCTCTGTTGTAATTGCCTCCAGACGCCTCCAAACACACCATCATGATGCTGGGCCAAATATACCATTTGCCACACCCCTCCAATGTGAGTAATTCCTCTCCCCAGTGATTTGGGAACAGTGCACAGAAGAATGGCCCAACTGGCAGTGGCAGCTATGTGTGGCCAGCTGTCCCGTAGCATCCCAGGTCCTCAAAACACACTAAGCATCTTCCATGATCGTGTCAAAGAATAAGGCACAGCCCTGCCCTCAGTCGGCTGCAGTTCTAACAGGGCCCTGGAAATTCTCCGAGAAGCTTTGCTTCATCAGAAGCCAATAAGCCATTTACATCTTCCTGCTTCCAAATCTGAGACAGCTCCCATCCCCCGGCCTTTGCACGTGGCAAACTCCCTCCAAATGGACCAGAGTCATCTCACCACGGAGGGTCATCCAGAGTTCTTGGCACCTTGCAATTTTGTGGGCTACAATGTCTCAGGGAGGGGCAGCCACACTGAAGGTACATCAGAGGAAGTGGCCCTAGCCTGGCCTCTGGCTCCCAGTGACTCAGGCCCAGGAACGCAGCCAAGATATGGTGACAAAATCACCCAGAACAGCCTCAGTTACCACCATCACCTTCAAGTGCAGCCACCACCCAAGGACTTCAGTCCTAGGGAAGCACTCCTCCCCCCTCCTCCTCTCTAGGCTAATTCTTCTGCAATGAGTCACCAACACATCACAGACGGCACTCAGGCTGCACACCTGGTCCACCCAGTGTGAGGAGCATCACTGCGCATACTGTGGCCCCACATTTCTGCCCTGTGCTCCTCACAGCCCTGGAGTTCTCAGGCACCCACAGGAGGATGCCAGGAAGAACAGGAGGACTGTGGCCACCAGTGCCACTTTTGCCTGGATTATATGAGAGTTCAGGATGACATTTTGATTTAAAAAAAGAAAAAAAAGAGGGTTCTATTGCTTTAAAAAGTTTGAAAAGCACTGTTCAAGACAAATAGGCAAATTGGTACACAACTTAGTTACCAACTCCTGCTTGACACAGAACACATGTGCCTCTTTCTTTGGGAATACTCGATTCTTCTTTAGTGGTGACACACCCCTCAGTGCCTCACAGCACCAATGTCAGCACCAGAAACCCTCACAAACATCTCCCAGGCATGATGCGTGGGTCAAACTCCAAAAGCCCCAATCCCCGACTTCCTCTATCCTGCATACGGGGACAGCCACCATGGCCCCTGTCCTGTCACTCAGTCCAGTTTGGAGCCCCTCTTCTAAAAGTACTCCTTCTGGGGGCCGGCCCAGTGGCACAGGGGTTAAGTTTGCACACTCTGCTTTGGTGGCCCAGGGTCTGCCAGTTCAGATCCTAGGCACAGACCTACGCATCACTTATCAAGCCATGCTGTGGCAGGTGTCCCACATATAAAGTAGAGGAAGATGGGCACAGATGTTAGCTGAGGGCCAATCTTCCTCAGCAAAAAGAGGAGGATTGGCAGCGGATCTTAGTTCAGGGCTAATCTTCCTGCAAAGAAAAAAAGTACTCCTTCTGCTTCCCCGTGTGCTAAGCTGCCCACGTGCCCCTGGACACAGCCCAGGCCCATTTCTCTGACCAATCGATCAGCTCCAAAACGGACAGACAGGGCAGGGAGCAGTGAGGGCAGAAGGGGACACCTCCCCAGCAACACACGGCCCCACTCAATCCTGGTTAGCAATAGGGGGTCCAGCGGCTGAAGGCTGACCATCCCGCTCCCTTTGTTTGATTATGAGCTTTTACTCCCAAACTCCTTCTTTGGAGGATGTTCAAAGCTACAGAGAAACTGAAAAAATAGCTCAACTACATAACCAAAGTACCATTATCACAAGTAAGAAAAGTAACATTTATTCAATAATATCTAATACATGGTTCATATCCAAAATTGTACAGTTAATCCCCATGTATCTTTTACAGATTTTTTGAGCCAAGATCTAATCAAGGTTCACTCATTTGATGTCCTTTATCAACAACAGATTCTCATCTCTGTTTTTTTTAAATAACATTGAATTTATTGAGGAGTTCTGGCCAATTGTTTTGGAGAATGTCCCACATTTTGGGTTTTTCTGTTTCCTTATTACTAGATTTAGTTAAACAAGTTTACCATGAATGTTACACGGATAATATTGTGTACCTCTTAATCACATCACCTCAGAAGTCACATAATATCAGGTTGTCCCACTACCAGTGAGGCTAAACTGGATCACCTGGTTAAACTATTGACAGCCAGATTGTGCCACTGTCCCTTTAGAATCAGTAAGCAATCTGTGAGGTGATCCTTTGAGACCTCGTGAATACACTCTTCCACAATAATCTTTCACCAACTAGTTTTTGCATCCAGTGATGAGCCAACCCGGGGGTAACAAAATAGAGATTTTCTAAATTTATCAGCTGATGTTCCATAAAGAAGAGCTTTCCCTTTTTTATTTTCTCTCCTTCTCTCTCTCCCTGATTATTATTATATACTCACAAGTCTCTTTTTATTATTCAACATGTCATAACTCATTACTGTCATTATTCTTTTTGATGCTCAAATTGTCCCACTTTGGCCAGTGAGAGCCCTTTCAAATAGGCTTCTGGGTCCTCTGATAGGACCCCATTCATCTTTGCTTTCTAGCACGAGATGTCCCAGGCTCACCCTGTACTTTCCCTGCTCCAACCTGGAACCAGCCATTTTTCTGCATCCTTTGGGTGGGACTCACCCTCGTTTTACAGAGAAGCAAGTTTACATTCTCTCACCTTGCTTAGTCATAACTTCATTTTCCTTCCTCCCTTCCTCCTTTCCCTGTCATTCATCACCTGCATGAGCACAGAGAGCCATCTGTCCTTGGTAGAAAGTGGGGAGAAGGGCATAAGAGATGGGAAAGAGAGACAAAGACCCACAGTAAATTTAGGGACATTACCAACCATTCACCAGTCAATGACAAGGTGTCTTTTTCATGGATGACCACACTATTGGCTAACTCCAAGGCAAGGCCTGTATTTCAATAAGTCATTCTGTCATGATTCCATTTATGAAATTTACATATTATCTCACATCATTTTATTGTTTTATTTTATACTTATATAAAATATACACACAAGAATAAGTACTACCTACCCCCTGGCACTCCTATCTCCTTCTCTCAATGTTTTTATCTCCATTCAAACTCTTCCTGAGACCCTGTGAAACTCTGTGCTTCACTTTTATTTTTTTAAGATTGGCCCTGAGCTAATATCTTTTGCCAATCTTTTTTTTTCTTTCTTCTTCTCCCTAACCCCCCAGTACATAGTTGTATATTCTAGTTGTAGGTCCTTCTAGTTCTGCTATGTTCTAGTTCTGTGGCCTGAGGTCCGTGTCCAGGATCCGAACCAGCGAAACCCTGGGCCACCGAAGCAGAGTGAGTGAACTTAACTGCTCGGCCACAGGGCTACCCACTCTGTGCTTCATTTCACTCCCACTAGGATATAAGTTCCGTGAATGACAGGCATTTTTTTATTTACAGCTTTGTTCGCAGCTATTCTCACAGTGGCTAGCACAGTGCCTAGAATACAGTAGGAGCTCCATAATTGTGAATGAGAAAAATGGCTTGCCCAGGACCACAGGCCTCAAGGTGAGCAGGCCCTCCTACGTATCCTTTAAGCCTCTTTCAATGTCACTCCCAAGCAGTTACTCCTGTCCGTGTTCCCAGATCCCTTCTTACACTCTGGATCCTGACAACTTGAACTACCACCTCATCGTTGTTTATTTATATGTCTGTCTCATCTGAAAAACTGCAAGTTCCTCTAAGGCAAGGACAAGGTCAACTTATGTCCATGGCTCAGCACTTAGCACAGCAGGTGGCACAATTCCTGAACTCCTCCTGCCTTCAGCCAGTGCTCCCCAGAGCTGCCTGCTGGCTTTCCTCTCCAGACAGCCTCTCCACTGCAGGCTCAGGGCCCACCAGCAGCTCACAATGGGCCCTTTGACTCGACTGGACTGGGCTCTTTCAGGAAAAACATGTTCCTTGCCACAGTATCTGTCACTAAGGCCAGTGTCCCTATAGCTTTGAGGCAACACAAAGCCGGTGTTCACCAAGAAACAAGAGGTGGGGCATGAGGCCGGGAGAGCCAGCCGCACAGAGAAGACTGACTTCTGGGAAGGTGGGAGATGGGGTGGCAAGGTCGAGAGGGCCTTTCATCAACGGGGATGCTGACAGGCAGGCTCTGCGAACAGCCTGGAGAGAGGTCGGCGGGGGAGAGGGGTTAAAACGAGAGTGTACAAAGATTAGAACTAGTCAGAGCTCGGCCTCAGAGATAGCTTACTTGCTCTTTTCTTTCAATCTTCTTTTCACTTTGCTCAGAAACTGGATTCTCGGGAGGGACAGTCAGCCGTAGTCTGCAGACATTTGCCTAGGAGAGAAGGAGATGAGAGGCCAGTTATGAACCCATGTTGGGGGCAGAAAGAGCCAGGTGACCTGGGGATTCTCAGACCCTGTTTCTCCTGGTTAGCAATGGGGGTGATGGTCCCACTCACACAGGGACTCTGAGGGTAAGAGCAGCCTTTGCCTGGCCCATCATAGGCACTCACCACCAGGCTGCTCAAAACGATGACGCAACTGAATAATTTCAGAGTTCAAACCTTTTTCAATGGCTCAGGTTCTATAACAGTATAGAATGATCTTATTTCACATGCACAGGTCAAAATACAGTGAGGGATAGAGGCCAAAACACACACAGTGGTGACTGGGGTGTGCAGGTACTTTCCACTTGACCATATATTAAATTTTTCTATAATAGATACCTATATGTTTAATCACAAAGTTTTTTTAAAAAGTCTATAAACCATGTTCACAGCAGCATTTTTCACAATAGCCAAAAGGTGGAAGCAATCCAAATGTCCATCAATGGATGAATAAATTAAATTAAATTAAATTAATTAAATAAATATATAAAATAAAATGAATAAATAAAATGTGTTATATACATAGAATAGAATATTATACAGCCCTAAAAAGTAAGGAAATTCTGACACATGCTACAACATGGATGAACATTGAGGACATTATGCTAAGTGAAATAAGCCAGTCATCAAAAGATAGATACTGTATGATTCCACTTATACGAGGTGCCTGGAGTAATTAAATAAATTCATACAGACAGAGTAGAATGGTGACTGCTGGGGGATGAGGAGACCGAGGAATGGAGAGTTTCTGCTTAATGGGCATGGAGTTTCAGTTGGAGAGGATGAAAACATTCTGGAGATGGATGGTGCTGATGGTTACACAACAACGAGAATGTACCTAATGCCACATGATGTCTCTTTCACCCTGTTGTCACAGCCTGATTCTGCTGTGACATCTCCCAGGGAGAAGTGCTCCTGTCATAAATTAAAAAAAGCCAAAGAGGGCCTCAGCAGCACCCAGGATACCCAGCCCACAGTCACGAGGGCTCGACTCACAGGAGTGCTGCTTGCCCCTGTTATGGGTTGAAGTGTGTCCCCTAAAATTTATCTGTTGAAGTCCTAACCCCTAGTACTTCAGAATGTGACCTTATTTGGATACAGGGTCTCGACAGAAGTAATCAAGTTAGGCCATTAGGGCAGCTCCTAATCCAAAAATGACTGGTGTCCTTACAAAAAGGGGAAATTTGGAGACAGACATGCCCACTGGAAGAACGCCACGTGAGCGTGCCACGGAGAGGGGCCTGGAACAGATCCTTCCCTCACAGCCCTCAGAAGGAGCCAACCCTGCCGACACCTTGATTTTGGATGTCTGGCTCCAGAACTGTGAGACAATAAATTTTCTCTGTTTAAGTCATCTGGCTTGTGGTACTTTTCACAGCAGCCCTAGCAAAATAATACACCCTCCAACTTGGTTTGCAGGCTCACAGATCTGCACCAGTCCACCGGGCAGCCTCTGAGCAAAACTACCCTGCAGCCTGGAAGCCCAGGGTTGGATGAGATTGCAAAAGACCTTTTGAGTCCAACCTGTCAGCCTAGGAAGGAACCCTCATCCATAACAATGTATCTGGCAGGTGGGCACCCAGCCTGAGGGTACCATTTTCCATGCACAAATCAGAGAGCCATTTGGGACACACGTTAGCATCTCCACATACACCATCACCCCCCTCTGAGGCACCCCACTTTATTACTCGGCACCTCTAACTTCCTGGTAACAAACTTACAAGTTCTTCCTCAGAACTCCTACCTAACGGACCCAGGTTGTCCTCAGGGACTACAGCAAAATTCCCTTTACTCTAGACAGGCCTCCTGTCCCCTGGACCTCCTTTCTTCTGCACTGAACAACCCCAGTGCCTCCAGCCACATGATTTGGTTTCAAGACCCATCTCCATCCTCACTCTCCTCCGGGCAAGCTTCATCCCCCAGTGACCCCCGGGTCAGATGTGTCTTGACTCCCAGGGCTATCACTGCCTCTGATCTGGCCAACTTTGCACCAAACCTTCAAAGCTCACCATCAGTCATGTTGGCCAAAGAGAAACCAAGCCATTCCACCGGGTAGCTGTCTTAGCTGACAGATGACAACACTGATGGGAATGCAAGTCCCTCCAGAGAAAGGCAACCCTCTGACTTCATGTCACCTGGACTGGCTGAAACCAGCTGGCATTTGCACAAACATCAAAGTGTGACCCACACCAGGTAGACAATCCAAGTCTGTGATGCTCAATACTCCTCTCTGATAGCCCGGATCTAACCCACAGCATAATTTTGCAGAGAAAAGGAGATGCTTTTCTCCGGCACCACAAATCATACACACACACGTGTGTGTACATACACATGAGGAACACACATGCACATACTTGCACAGGTGCACACATGCACACACACAGGTTCCAACACCTACTAGTTATGTTGAGTACAGGCAAGCTATTTAATCTCTCCAAATCTCAAGGGTAAAATGCAAATAAAAGGAAGACATGTGGCACACAGTAAGCCACTATCAATGTTAGATATTTTGAGAATTATCTAGATATTATCATCATCCTACAAGCTACAAAATGAAATAGGCCTCCTTGGCCTCACACCTCTGCTTTCCATGATAATAACAATTTGGCCACAGGATCTAGTGGGCATTAGCATGGTAAGAGATATCTTCTTGTAGGTTGATTGCCCTACAGGGATAACCCCCAATGGCAATAATTTTCAGAATAAACTAAAAGACTGAAGAGGAGACGAGGCCCAGAAGGGATCCCATGGGTCCAATCCCCCAAGAGTGAGATGTCCCCTTCCCCTGCTTGAGACAAGTCTCTATCTGCTATCAATCTGGGTAGTTCTGCCCATCCAGAACTCTGATATTCCTCAAGATCCTTCCTGCAGCTCTCTCTGACCCATGTGTACCCTAGGTATGCAAAGCCACTGGATAAACAGAATGCATTTCCCTAAACCATCAGTTTTAGCTGGTGATGGATAAGGACAAAGTAAAATGAACCTGTAAAATAGAACATCTGCCTTTCAAGACATCTGGCAGTTGCAGCAGGTGCTTGAGGCTATGCCCAGGTCCCTGGGTCAGTGCTGCCTCTTGTCATTGCAGGTGTTTCAACGGAAACAGTAAGGCATGGACGACCCGTGGTGCTAGCATTCTTCCATCAGTGCTGACCCAGAGATGGACTGACCGGACAGATGCAGTTTAAACCAGCTTAGAACAGGATCACATGCCTTCCTAATAAGATGGTCAAATGTACTGTCACGTGAAAAGGAGAAAGTTGCAGGAAAAAAATGTTAAGAATAACTTCATTTTTGCTCTTTAAATACACTCTGATAATTCATGTTGATTTAGAGAAAAAATGTCTTTAAGGAAACACAACCAACTGGTGGTGGTGCTGAGCTCTAGACAGTGGGATTTCTGCATTTGCAACAGTTCCAAGGATGGGTAAATTTTTAAATTAAAATAATAATAATAGTAATAACAGCAATAACAATGACTGAGAGAGAATGTATCAGAAAGATAGAGATATCAGTCCCTCCCAGCCCCACAGGACTGGTTCAGGAACAGCAAAGAGAACACCCCACAAGTCTAGAAGGTACTCTGAATTCCTTAACAGAAGCACTAAGTAACCCATGAACGCAGCCACTAGGTTGACCAAGTACTGTTGACTTCCCTTTATCCATTCGCTTTCAGGAATCTCCCACTGAGTAAGATGGAGGCAGCGTGGCTTATCTCTATCAGCATTTTATGATGCTGATCTCCATGGTTTCCTGAAACTCAGATACACAATACCCAGAGCTGCCCCAGGCTGGCCTGTACCTGAGAGGCAGGCAGGCAACTTTATTCCTAGGGGTTCCGACAGCAGCTGGCTCAGCTGGCTTGGGTTCTAAACAATGGGGAGAACTGCATCTTATTTATCCTGAGCACCACTGCAATTGGACCAGCCATCCCTGGAAGCCTGGGTCCCTTCCATTGGATGAAAAGCAGGAAGATGGACTCAGCGTATTTCACCACTCAGTTACTGAGCATCCACTACTCGTAAAATACTTTTACGGGCTATGAGGGTCCCAAGATGAAAAAGAAACAGCATGCCCCCAGGAACCATAATCCAGAAACACACCCAAACAAGGCAATCCCCGAGTGTAAGTAATACAAGGTCCTAGTAGGCAGGGCAGCTTGGTGGTTAAGGCAAAGTGGAACTGCACCTTCTGGATTCCAATATTGGTTCTGACACCCACTAGCTATGAAATCTTTGGAAAGCTACGTAATCTTCAGTGCTTCAGTTACCTTGGTTGTAAAACAGAGCTAACAACACTGCAGAACCACTCTCTTTGGATTGTGCCAAGGACTAAATTAGCTAATACGTACAAAGATATTAGAACAGTTTCTGGCACATTTTAAGTACTCTGTAACTGTACTTTCAGTAACTGTACTTTCTTACCATGGGAATATAGGAAAGAGAACAATAATCTTAACTGGAGGTGGGAACATATGGGAAGGCTCCTAGAGGTGACATTTGAGCTGGGTATAGAAGAACAGAAAGGACTTTTCAGGTCATTGAGGTCCAGAGAATCCATCATCAGAATAACAACAGATGCCCACCATGCAAGGCACTCATTCCACGCTGGCCAAAGGCACAGATGTTGGCGTGTTCCGAGAATGTAAGTGGGCCTGCAACCTAAGCTAGAGCAGGAGAGGAAAATGGACAAGTAGGTGGGGCCAAACTCTAACAATCTACAAATGCCTCATGGAGAAGCAGGGGCCCAGGTGGAAGACAATGGGGAGCCACTCAACTCCTTGGAGGAAGGGACTAAGACTCAAATCTGAGTTCAGTGGTTCCATAGCAGTTATTGAGCACCTCCTATTGTGTTCCATGCACTACCACACAGACGGAAGGGAAAAAACGGAGAGAGATCAAACAAGATTTGTACTTCAGTTGCTTTCGTAGCCATTTCAGGGCTTAGCATA